TGTTAGAAGAAACTGTATCCCAAAATTTTAAGGAGAGACCAACATACATTATATATATATACCAAGAATAAGGTTAACTACTATGAAGGGATAGAATATGACTCTAAAAATGAAAAATAAAAAAGATTTTTAAAAAAAGGGATTGATAAGATGTTGGTTGAAAAAGGGAACAAGAAAAATTCAAAAAAAAAAAGAAAAGAAAATGTTAAAAAAAAGAAAAAAAGTTAAAAAAAAATAACTTTGAAAGACTAAAGAATCATGGGGAAAAAGCCATGAATTCTATGTGCGATATTCCCCTAGCGCTGGAGTTCTGCCGTTCTCACTGATCGGTAAACTTGGTCTTGGCTGGCTGTTCTTGATGATCTTCTGGGGGAGGGGTCTGTTGCCGTGGTTCCCAAAGTCTTTGCCAGAGGCGGAATTGCCCTGCCCTTGCCGGGTCCAGGCTAAGCAATCTGCTTGGGTTTGCTCTCGGGAGCTTTTGTTCCCTGCAAGTTTTCCGTTTGGCTTTGGAGGACGAGAGTGAAAATGGCGGCCTCCCAATCTCCACCCCTGAGGTTCTGATAACTCGGGGCCCCCATCCTCAGTGCACTCCCAGAGAAAAGCAATCACTTCCGTCTCCCTGTCTCCGGCTGCACTCCGTGCTCACCCGGCCTGTGACTGAGCGTTTCTATCTTTGGCACACGACCCCGTGTGGAGTCTCCAAACCCAGCAGATCCCTGTGGTGCGCTCCTGCACCACTCCTCCCCAGGGAGGAAGGGGAGTCTCCCCGGATCTGCCGCTTGTTGGATCCCTGCTGGAGGAGCAGTGGCCCGACTGTGCCGCTGATCACGGTTTATGGCAACCCCGAGCTGAGAGCCCCTGCCTCGGCTCCGTCTCTGCAGCCGGCTTCCCCGCTCCGATACCTGGGAGCTCTGCCACACTCAGGCACCCCCGGTGTTTCTGTGACCCCGAGGGTCCTGAGACCACACTGTCCCGCGAGGGTTCTATCCCCCGCTTAGCCACTGGAGCAAGGTCCCTCAGTGGAGCAGATTTCTAAAAGTTCCAATTTTGTGCTCCACGGCTCTATCACTTGCCAGAAGCGGCCGATGGAGGCCCCCTCCCCCACCATCTATCCTCCGGAATATCGCCTCGGATTCACTTCTCCGCACATCCTACCTTCCAGAAAGTGGTCGCTTTTCTGTTCAGAGAGTTGCTATTATTCTTTTCTTCGATCTCCTGTTGAGTTCGTAGGTGTTCAGAATGGTTTGTTCACTATCTAGCTGAATTCCTGGGATGAGTGGAAATTTCGGTCTCCTACTCCCCTGCCATCTTGCTCCTCCCCCAATGTAAACTTTTTGAAGTTATTTCAGTAATACTCCTTCCTTGCCAGTTGCTCTTATTTTGATAGTTTCAGTAACTTCCATGGGTTGGAGGCGGGGGTGGGGGCACTTTAATTCAGAAGATAGAGCTTTCTTTTTAGAGTTGAGACACTAGAGTGCTCCTCTGACCCACCACCACCAGTCAGTATAAGCTTCTTGGCATCCAGGGCATTAAAATATGGACAAGGAGCTTAGTCATCTAGGCACTGAAGTAAAAAATGACAACCCTCATTCATGTAACAATGCTGTTAACTTTCCTTTCCCTATGTAGATTCTCCTCTCTTTTTTGACTCCTGGCGGCAACAGACTTCGCAACCAAATCTGTGAAGTTTTGGACACAGACCTCATTAGGCAACAGGCTGAGCACAGTGCTGTTGACATCCAAGGCCTGGCCAACTATGTCATCAGTACAATGGGAAAGCTGTGTGCTCCCGTGCGAGATGACGATATCAGAGAGCTCAAGGCTACCGGCAACATCGTGGAGGTGCTGAGGTTAGCACTTTTGCTGCTTGCATTTTCTGAGAGTACCTTTGAGTTCATTCAAAAGGGAAGTGGGGGGGGGCAGGTACCTCGGTGGTGCAGTCGGTTAAGTGTCTGACTCTTGTTTTTGGCTCAGGTCATGATCTCAGGGTCATGAGATCAAGCCCTGAATTGGGCCCCACGCTCGGTGCAGTGTCTGCTTGAGATTCTCTCTCCCTCTGCCCCTCCTGCTCGTGCTCTCTCTCACTCAAATAAATAAATATTAAAAAAACAAAACAAAAGAAAAGGGAATGTGGGAATTGAGCAACACAGAATAATAACTGGTCTCCCAAAGGAATCCTTGATCTTAGAAGAAAACCAGATAAGCAAAGCTAAGTATTTTTGTGCCTCCCTGCCCTGTCCTTTTTTTTTTTCTTTTCTCTCTACCCCCCGCCAACTCCAGTAGGAATAGAAACCATGTACACTTCGTTCAGACTCCTTAAAATTTCAGGGCTTTCCAATGAAAATTCCTTCTTGAATCTTCTTTGTCTCATTAAGACTCATTGTTTATGCTTCTTAGTGTCTATCAGTTTACGGCCATGTGTAATGGATCAGCTGGAAGTATTGTATTTGCTAAAGCAAATACTCTTGAGATCTGTGAAGATTACATTTGGAATGCAAGTGTAATGCCTTCTATGAAAAGTGACCTTGCCAATGGCAATGGGAATTTCAAAACTATTTGGGGATGTTTATCTTTTCCAGTCTGTAAAATAGATCACAGTTAATGAATTTCAGCTTAATTTCTTAATCACCTCTCTAACTATTTTAACTCTAAAATTTTTAGACAAATATTTCATGTCCTGGACCTCATGAAAATGGACATGGTCAATTTTACAATTAGGAGTCTTAGACCACATCTTCAACGCCAGTTGGTGGATTATGAGAGAACCAAGTTCCAAGAAATTTTAGAAGAAACTCCAAGTAAGTACAATATAATGTGTATATGTTGAAATTGGGTGGAAATATGATGTGTTTATGTTTTTGACGTCTTGAGTATTACTAAAGAATTTTGGCTTTTCTGTTAAACATTTTTTTTTTAACTTCTAAAATCGACATCACAAATTTATAGCTGTCTGCCCATGTCCCAAGAACTGTGCCAAACAGTATTCATTTCTTCATGCATTAAAAAATATATATTTATTGAGCACCTGCTGTATCCCAGACACTGCTTAGTTGCTGTGAATACTGTAGTGAACAAAACAATGTTGTGACCCCCGAGGAACTGACATTCTAGTAGGCATGGCAAACAAACAAATAACATATTTGTCAGATGTGTTAAGTCTTATGAAGAAAAGTAGGAAAAAAGGGCAGAGCAATGGGGCAGGAGTTGGGGAGGTGGTGTTTTTTAAGATAAGGTAGACTGGGAAGACCTCTCTAAGAAGTAACATTTGAGCAGAGTTTGCAAAGGAAAGGGGCATGTGAAAATGTGAGAGAAGAACATTCCAGCCAGAGGGAGCTGCAAGTGCAAAGGTGTGAAGCTGGCACATGAAGATGGACAGACAAGAGCAGACAGTGTGGCTGGAGTAAAGTAGGCAGAGAGAGAGTGGGAGGAGACGAGGCCGAGAGGTAGACAAAGGCAGATCCTATAGAGCCTTGCTAGGAAATGAGAGTTGAGAGTTGATTCCAAGTGTGATGGGAAGTCATTGGAGAGTTTTGAGCAGGAGGGCAACATGTGATTTTCATTTTTAAAGACTACTCTGGCTTCTGGGTAGAGAATAGATCATACCGGAGCAATGAGGGAAGGGAAACAGGGGGACCAAGTAGGTGGTATTGCAGTTGCTCCAGCAAGAACTAATGGTCCAGGTAGCAGTGGCAGAAGTAGTACGAACAAGTCAGATTCTGGATGTATTTTGAAAGTTGAACAAAATGATTTGCTGAAAGTTGGTTGAAGGAGAAAAGGGAGGAGTTGAAGATGATGCTAAGGTTTTCACCTGAGCAGCAGGGGTGAATAGTGATGGCTATTTGTGAGGTGGGGCAACTAGGGGAAGGCAGGGAGGGAGGTGGTATGGAATCAGGGTTCAGTTTTAGATATATGAACTTTGAGATCTTGTTTGGCATCAACATGGACACGTCAGGTAGGCATGTGGATATAAGAGACGAGAGTTCAGGGGAATGGTGGATACTGGGGGTATGCATTCAGGACTCACCAGTATATTTATGATAGATAAAGCCACGAAACTGAATAATAGCTAACATGTGCTTAGCACATGCTAAGCACTTTACCTGTATTAACTAATTTGATCTTTGCAACAACTTTAGGAAATTACTCCCCATTTTACGGATGAGGAAACTGAGGGATAGAAAGGTTAGATCTCTTGCATCCATGACACAACTTGTAAGCTATGGAACTGGGACTCACCCAGGTGGTCTGGCTACACCGTTCATGCTCTTAGCCACAATATTACACTAGATGAAATTACGTGGGGAGTGAGTGTCGACACTGAAGAGGCCTGATTTGGGACTCTAGAGCATCTAGAGCTCGAAAAGAGGAGAAGGATCCAGCAAAGGTGACTGTGAAAGAGTAGCCAGAGACGTGAAGGAAGCCAGGAGCTGGTGATGTTCTGTAAGACAAGTGAACAAAGTGTTTGGAGAATGAAGACATAATCAGTCTGCTAAGTGGTCAAGAAAAATGGAGGCCAAGTCTTGACCACTGGATATGACTGCATGAGAATCCTTGGTAACCCTGATGGGAGCAGGTTCGTGAACTAGTGGGCATTAAAATTGGACTGGAAGAGGGGTCAAGAAAGCCTGGGAGTAGAGAATGTGGTACCTCAATGAAACCTCTCAGTTACTTAGTTAAGTAGGTACTGTTATACCCTTTATTTCACAGGCGAGGGAATTGAGATGCCAGATGTTGCACAGCTGGCAAAAGACTGGCTTATCAGATTCCCTCATGGGCAAACTCTTAACACTAGCTTCTGGGCTTTAATTCACTACACTATAAGGTTGTTAGATGATCCACCCACTTCACCCCCACCCCTCGTGGACTGAGCTTTTCTGTCAAGCTAGTCAATATGGTAGCCTTAATGTAAACAAAGCCAAACAGGTGCCACTTTTAAAGGGGCTCCAAGAGTCTGGAGCATGTCCTGGGAAAAGGGCCTGGGTCGTGGAGGGTCATAGCAGGAACAGTCCATGAAGCTGTGCACATTCTGTTTGGTAACAAGGAGATGCATGTGGGCCAGGAGCACTGCCTTCCTATTGTTATTGATTCAGGGACTTTGGGTTAAGCTCCGTAGGGCAGACTAGGATCCATGGAGGGAAAGCACAGGCAGCCAGTTTCGACCTTTTTAGCAACTGGAGCTGTTTTAAGCTTGGAATGGGCCTCTCTATTACTACTCGTAATAGTGCCAGCTATCATTTTGTTGAACACTTATTATATACCAAGTCCTTACTATGTGCCAGATGTTTTTCCTTTATTATCCCATTTAGGCCTCACAAAGCCCCATGAATCTGGCACTGTTATCACTCACTGTCTATAAATGAAGAAATGGGGGTGCCTGGGTGGCTCAGTCATTAAGCGTCTGCCTTCGGCTCAGGTCATGATCCCAGGGCCCTGGGATTGAGCCCCACGTCATTGGGCTCCCTGCTCAGCAGGGAGCCTGCTTCTCCAGCTCCCTCCGCCACTCCTCCTGCTTGTTCTCTCTCTCTCTCTTTCTTAAGTAAATAAATAAAAAATCTTTAAAAACATACAAATGAAGAAATTGGGGTTAAGGTACTTACCCTAGGTGACTGCTAACGCCTGAGTAAACCAGACATGTCTCTGCCCCAAAGCATGTACATTGAACCGCTACACAACACTACTTGTCTTCAAATGAGCTACTGACTTTCTTTGCGCCATCTGCAGAGGGAGCGCTAGCACTGAGTGGCAGATAAGATTAAATGACTTCTAAGGATCCTTCCACAACCAAAATTCTGTGACTTCAGGGCTGTATTGTTTTAGCTCCAAAGGGGAGAGAGGGATTAATGGAAATAGAACCCTACAAAGAACCTGAATCTGAAACCTGAACTACAGTAACTATGTTTGTAGCAGTGTTTTCCTTTCCAGTGTTTTACTGTTTGGTTTCATTTGTGCGCCTGTGTACATGTTTATACATGTGTGTGCAAATGTCTCCATGTCTTGAATCAAGATAGCTTGTCATCTGGAACAAATTCCTTAATATTGGTTTGAATTACAATTTTATTTAAATGATTTGTTTCTGTCCTTAAAACCCAGGCTTAGTGACCTGCAGTTCATTTGTACTTTTCACATTGACTTGGATATTTTAAGAGATTTAAGAATAGAATAAATCTAGTTGTGCATATAGGTCATTATTGCCCAGCTCTAAATATGGTCCCAGAGAAATCAAGAGTCCAGGAAGCAGAGTGTATGTCAGCTGTTAATTATATCCTCAAGTCGCTCTGCCAAAAGTCGGTCACTGTGCCCTAATATCAAAATAAGAGCCTCATGGTAACATGCAGAAGGACGAAAGGTTGGATTTTTGTGTGTACATGATTTTTTATAAAATAATTATTGGAAAGTTAATACAGAGAAGCACTCTAGATTTCTGAATTGACTCCAGAAAATACTTTATTTTGCCAACAGAGAGATTTTATATAATTGCCTGATTAAAGTACAGCCAAGAAAGCCTTAAGCAGTGATTGGATGCATGTACTAATCATCAACAAGATAACCACATCAGGTCCAACAACTAAATTACCTGTGGAAAGAGTAACAGATTACCCCTCAGGGACCAGAGCAAAAGTAATTTCTAAGATACTCAGAAAGAGAAGCTTTTTATTTATTTAGATAATATCTTATATCTGATAAAACGTTCTCATAGAACTTCATTTCATGTGATTCTTTCAAAAATCCTGTGGGACATAAACACTTTTCAAAAACACATCAAACTGCATTTTTATTTTCTTTGCCTGGCACACAAGGCATTTAAGAACTACTAATGGAACATTCTGAAGATGAGCAAACCGGTGCTCAACAATGGCCTGCCCAAACACCAGAGAGTCACACAGCTAATAAGTAGTAGAGCTAGGACTGGAAGCCAGGCCTACATCCAAGCCAAGACTAAACCAAGCTGCTGCTTTGGCTACTTTCTTTGGATTTTTCACTTTTGTGTTATATCAGCTGGGTTATACTGCAGGCAACAGAAACCAACTCTGGCTGATTTAGCAAAAAAGGAAGAGAATGGAAGGACGGGGGCAGTTCACAAAAAAAGCCAAAATACCTGAGCCTGAACAAGGCCAGAAACCAGGAGAGCATCAGGAATCTAGGCAGGAAAAATAAGGGAAAGTTCCTAGCTCCATCATCAGAACAGTTAATGTGTACTTTAAAATGGTCCATCCTTGAATGCTGTAGTCACCATTCATATCCCAAGAAAGTTTGATGGGCATACGATTCAGCTAGGCCAGCCCATGGTCAGGGGCGTTGCCTGGTCAGGGGCCTTTTAATTGATATTTATAAAAGAAACCATGGAAGGAGGGAAAATGATTTCTCAAAGAAAGCAGTACCAAGGGGTGCCTGGCTGGCTCAGTCAGTAGAGCATGTGACTCTTGATTTCAGCGTCATGAGTTCAAGCCCCAAGTTGGGCGTAGAGCCTACTTTAAAAAAAGAAAAGAAATCAGTATCAAAAGAAGGGAGGTGAGGTATTACTAGGCATAATAGAGCAGGTGTCATGGGTAAAGGGAACTATATTCTTCTAAGTGGAAATTGAAGTATTTAGTCTGAATATTTTCCAGAATATTGAAAATGGGAGCCATCTAAAGCTTTGCACAACCTCAGAGTCTTCCATTCACATAATTCTGCAGCATTCTCTTGGTTTATGTGAATACTCTCTGCTTAGAATTATACAGGCTATCCCCCAGATCCAGGATGTGGAGTTGTTGCCTTTTTAGGGGTCACTCAGAGTTCATGCTTATGTACCAGATTTCATGCTTAGGTACCCTATTAGAAGGCAGCAGAGATGGGAATT